GGCTCCTAATTTGTATTAACGGGGCGAACCCATGTTCGTCTTAAATGCTGAAGATCCTGTCTGAAGTAATTATTGATAAGAAAACTACGTAATATGATCCTGAACATGCGCGCTCGCAAGCCATGGCAACAACAGCCTCGACGCCAGGCGTTGCAGTCTCCAGCCCGCGCGGCGTCGATCTTGTGGCTGTAACATTATGTGATGGCCAATGAGCAAACGAAAAATATGACACATCTTAAGGGAGATGGCTGGTGAACTAGGTAAATCGGCATGCACGTTTAATTTAGTGGAAAAGTAAGCAAAATGCAACCTTAATCTGAAAAGGGGGGGGGGGGCAGTTAACATCGCTGCCCCCCTGCCCCCCCCCCCCCTGTTCCTAAGCCCATGTCGGAAGAACGAGAAAAAAGTATGTAATTGGAGCCTGTGTGATAGTTATTGGACACCTGCAGCGTTCAAATATGTTTGTGTCAATGAGGGCTCCTATGTTGATATGTGGTCAGGTGCGCGGGTCAGAGGACCTCCCGCGTCAGGGAGAAACATAAGGTGATATGATGTGTCCCTGTGGGGCCTCCGGATCGACCAGGGAATCCCGTCCCGTGACATCGGAATGACAGCCGGAAGATACTCGCGATACAACGGAACGGCCGTTGAGCCCTTGACCGGGAACAGAAATGTGCCCCTAGTGCTCTGCTCAAGGGGCCCCTTGCCCAGAAGTAAATAAGGGATATCTTCATTGTTGAAAAGAGTGGGTCAAAATGAGTTAAAAAGCGAAAAAGGTTATCCGATGTTTGCCTGAGGACGCTCATTCCTTTGCGGAATCGATTAGAGAAACAAATTACATCAAAAGGCTCGAACATGTGCGCCCGCAATCTCGGGAGCAACAACTGCGATCGCCTGGGTTGCAGCTTCCGTAAAACCGAAGGGCGCTGGCCGCTGCAAGCGACACCAGGTAAGCGGTCGCCGTGGTTAATCTGTCCGATTAGCAGTTACAGCAACACAGAAAATGAAGATTCTATCCTTACTCTTCCAACTCCACCACCAGACTCCAGCACCATTTCGCGATGCTGCAGGGGTCAATCCGATCTTAGCGATCTAAATATCGCACAGCCTACATCTTCGTGAACGGCTTACCCGATCAAGTGCGAAGCGTAGTCAGATGTTCCGGATGACACCAAGATCTGCTCTGTCGTGTATCGAGGCCCGACTGATTCTTCTCTACAGGTGGACCTCGACACCTGGCCAGGTGGTCAGAGGAGCAGCTGCTCCCATGTAACGCAACAGAATGCAAAGTAATGCACATCGGAACTGCAACCCGAGACTAACCTATTTCTTTAGCACGCGCTCGGGTGGGGGGGTCAAATTGACCACCCACCCCCCCCCCCGAAAGTTTTTCCAGAATGCTTTCCGAACGGCGCGGCGTAGCAGCGCCAAATTTTGCATAACTGTAGACAATTAAATAGCAGGTCGTTTGATATAATATATTTAGATGTACCTTGTAAGGTCGCTGACCTATGGCAGGTTTCAGCGAAGGCAATTTCTAGGGAATTGTTTAATCTGGGGTGTTTCACGAAGGCATACGTCTCTGAGATGCTTTCTTAGGCAACACAAATATTGAATGAGCAAATTACGTTGACCTAAGATCAGATATGAAGGTCAGACCAAGGTCAAAACCAACTTGTTCTATTACTCTAGGGCTTTCTGCATGGGATAGTTTCTGGTGCTCATTTCGAATTTATTGATAGCAGGAACCGCATAATGCACCTTCCATTGACCTCTTTGACGTCAGGATAGGTCATTGACCTGAGATGACCCAGGTCGACATCTTGTTTTTTAGGAATATGCTGTCTACTGTAATCTTTGTCGCGTATTCAATGCAAAACTCAGAGTAGTCTTGTGTGTTTTTGGTCACCATGACCTTCAAAGGGTCAAAAAGGTCGCTGACCCTAAATGAGCTGGTGCCTTTTTGTTTGGAAACAGTTATCTAGGTTCTGGGGCACTTTCGAGGCCAACCTGGAATTTGACATTGTTTGACGTTATTTGACCTGAAGGTCATGACCCAGGAACCTCAAACCTTGGCCTAAGCGAGTCAACGTACCGGTCAACACCCTGTAGATTTGGTGTCCCTAGCTTCCTTAGTTCATGAGATCTCAGGGGGCTCAAATTGACTCTCAACTGAGCGAAGGGTACCGAACAGGCCACCCGGGCGCGTGTTAACGGCACAGAATTACGATTGATCTCACCGAGAAGGATCTCGGGGTTCTCGTCGATCATAGGCTTAAGTTCCACGTGCAGGCGGCGGAGGCGATCTCGAAGGCCAACTAGGTGCTGGCGGTCGTGGGAAGGGCGTTTGCCAACATTGATGCTTATACGCTGTCGCTGCTCTTCGAGATCCTAGTACGCCCGTACTTGGAATATGGCAGCGCCATCTGGGGCCCGTACGACAGACTGGACCAGAAGTGGCTGGAGCGGGTTCAGTGGCAAGCAATGCGTATTGTTCACGAAGTGGGGCATCGGCCATACCCTGGGAGGCTCAGGTTTCTCCAGTTGACTTTGCTTTACTAACGTCGTCGCAGGGGAGACATGGTTTTATTGTGTTTATTTATTTATTTATTCTTTCACATAAGCAGCCCACAGGTTCAATAGGTACCCCAGTTACGGATGCAGTCAATCAGTTCAAAACAATACATATACGCGCACAAACACACGTATACAGACTATCACGCTTGCAGAGTTACTCAAGTGCTTTGTAGAGCAGATCAACGAGGTGAACCTACCCACACTGCGGGCAAACCTGCGTGCATGGGAAAGGAATGACAGCGGATGAAAAAGTCAGCTGTTGGGATATCCTGAAGAAGATGGCTGCGGGTGACAGAAATACGGACAGGGAATCCTGTTTTTACGGTGCTGACTCTTCTAGACGGCACGTGGAAGAGACTAGTACGGTACGAACGTCTTACTGGTACCGCCAGCTCTTAACAGTGTGGTAAGCTGAGCACAGTCCAGCCGATGGTGAAATATGTTGTGCATAAGGAGATCGGACTGGACGAATCGTGCCTTGATTGATGGCACGCGGAAATGTGAGAGAAGGCCCTCATAACCCAGAGAAGGGCACTGATCCCGGGTGCTTGCAGCCAGCCACATGAGAAACCTGTGCTGGAGTCGCTCAAATCGAGCGAAGTGTGATGGCAGCCCCGCTCCACATAACACACCACGCACTCGGCGTGGGCAGCTCTGCATTTGCATGCTGCGTGCGGTCAATCCAAACATTCTCTTAGCTTAGGCGCTCGCAGCGTCGACATGTGATGCAAAAGTGAGCTGTGCGCCCAACAGAACGCCGAGGTCACCGGTTTGGTCACACCTTTCCAGATAGAGGCCGTCTTTTGTGTACTGATGGACAACAGGGCAGGTACGGAATGTGAGGGAAATGAATTTGCACTTTGATGAATCAAGGCCGAGTTGCCAGGTTCACGACCAGTCGCAGACACGATCCAAGTCCAACTACAGGCTGACGCAGTCTGCGCTGCTTTCAATGCAGCCGTAGACTTTCACATCATCGGCGTGCATGGTGCGCTGGCCTTCTGGCGGACCTACCCGTGCCGCTGGGCGGGTCCGCAACAAAGTATGCCAACAGCAGCGTTCTTAAGATATTGCCTTCTGGTAAACCGGATGGGTCCCCGGTCCTCAGAACCCAGCCAGACTGCTTGCGCTTCAGGATGATTCGCCGCTCGCGATCGGTCAGGTGCGAGTCAAGCCAGTCGTACGCGACACCAGTAACTCCGAAAGAGTCGAAACTTGTGCAGCAGAAACACATGGTTGACGCTGGTGAACGCCGAGGAAATATCTGTGTATATGGCGTCAGTCTGTTTGCCTCAGGCGATTGAGGTCCAGCAGTGCTCGAGAAAGCAGGAAGGGTTAGTGGTGCAGGATTGTTTTGGAAGGAACCGTGTTTGGATGATGGCAGAGCTGGTAGGCACGCTGGTAGCAAGCTATCACAAACGATCCTCTCGGAATCTTTGAGCAATTTGGTAGCAGCGATAAAGATCGATTATTATCGGGTGACTTGTTGGAGCTTTTTATATACTGTAATGGCGTGAGCCATATGATGGTTACAAATGGTTAGTTACATGGTTGCAGCGTAACCAACCATATGTTGGCGTTCATGGTTACAGTGCGTCAGTTGCTTCACAGAGGTATGTCACTGTCGGGGGAGTTCCGGACCAGACAGCTCGGAGATGGCGGGAGGACACTAATGAAGCAAGAAAATCTCGAGCTAGGGCCTCTCGTCCGTCGTACCTCATTCAGCACGCGGGTCGTCAGCGATTGCAATGCTCTTCCACACTCGGTCGAATTGTCAACCTCAATTGAACAGTTAGGTCGAGGCTTGATATGCACTGGGCTGACATTATTTATGGCATTCCGCACTGAATCTATCCATTATTTGAGACTGGTCACCGGGCTGGGAGCTTGACGGGACCGAAACCGACAGGCCAAGTGGCCCTCTATAATTCCCGGTCACCATAAGATAAGCTAAGGTGAGGTAACGAGATATGCACCCCTGGCTCTTAGCCCCTGGAGGTTTTTCCGGCACCCCCAATCATTTGCGACGTAAATGTGCCAGTGCTACGAACACAAACGGCTTTATAGGGGCCGTTTATAGATTGCCAACTGTACGAATGATCGAGTGGCTTGCCCGCTCCAGTTCCAGTACAAGTGGCTGGCGTAAAAGCTAGGCCTGAAAAGCGTCACAGTGGCACAGAGGGCGGCAAATAAATTTGACGAAGTGCAAGAAGCATGGATTGCGCCTTATACATGCCTTGTAGCTACACTAGATGAACGCAGGTTTTTCGCTGACCGTGTTTATTGATGCTTTTTTGTTTTTGTTTTTTATGAGGTTTTGCAAAATTTTGTCATTCGTCACCACCCGTGTTTAAAGACCAGCTTGACGTGATGGCTTTCGTACTAGAATAAATAACACCAAACAGCGGTTGGGTTGTGAGTACACGTCCGCTGGCGTGCCTCCTTTCTTATTTATAGGAATTGTTTGGTTGGGATCTCACTGGTACTTGGTGTCGTACTAAACTCATGCGACATATGTAGGGACAAATAGTGGGCAGCTTGTCATGACATAAATGGATGTTGCGGCCAGCAGCAGCGTGCCAGTCTAAATGACGTTCCCTTTTTATGTCTTGTTTGCATTGCTTTCTAGGCATCAGCCCATCAGCCCAGTGGGGTCTTATACGTTTGGTGACATTGTTTGTTCCTGCCATGTGCAATGAGAAGTGTTCATGAAGTGGTATGACTTCAAATGAAAGGAAAGCATTTTGGTCACAAGACTTGGTCAATTTTATGCCACAGGTTAGTAACTGGTAATTGTAACTTCCATATGTTCAGATTTGTCCCATTGACAGCTACATCTAAGGCATATAACTTATTGGTATATTTATTTGATATTGACATTGATGATATTTGTGACACCATTTGGCATGCACCAGTTCATGGCTATTTTGTCATGTGGGTAAGGTGTATAGTCTGTTATGCACAACTGCCATCTGGATTCTATGATGGTTTATCAGTGATTAACCAATTGTATGCCAGGGGGATGGGTGGTGCATTTGAGTTCTGTGCTCTGGAAGGAATGCATACAGTTATTGTTTATTTCGCAAGTTTGCATGAAGGCTTTCCTAAACAACTGTATGAAAAACCACATCAGGCCACTAGTTGAACCTAACTAGGAAGAATTGCAAAATAAGTTGCATGGCATCCTTTGGTCAGTCTAAGCCACATCTCATTTTGAATTAAGTGGTAAGCCACAATTAGAGCAGTATTTCTGAAAATTAGTTCATTGTTCTATTAAGTTGGTTACTAAAGCAGGCAGGCTTTTGGCAGTTGCTGGCCTATGTATAGATGAATTGCCTTTTGTGTCTAAAACAACCACTGGCCAAGTTCTTATGTAGGTAATAGCATACAAATCAATTCCATTTCACTTTTATGATAAATGCTGCCTGAGCCCCCAACCTATACAGCTCAATTGAAATGCAGGTTTTTGTCCTGTTTGTTTTCTTTTTTGAGAGGCAGTGGTATGAAAGCTGATATATTCCTGCCCAGGGTCTTATCAATGCAATTATCAAGGCAAGTTGAAATTATGTTGACTTTTCTCCATAGAGAAATCAGACAACACTTAAAATGATTTAAGGCTGTCAGGAACTGGAAAATACCTGTTGAATGCTGTAACTGGGGAATACCCATTGAAGTAGTCAATTGCTATCAGTTATGTAAAAGGTAAATCCACTGCAATGTTATCAGCAAGTAGTGTTCTCAAGAACCAATAATCTGCAGCAAACATAAATTTTTGAACCAATGCCAGGAACATAGTTTGTATGATCATACATCCAAACATGTTCATGTATGAACAGGATTGTAAAATGAATGAACAGCAAATGTGGAAACAAACATGATTCTCAATAATATTGAATGTGTTGTGATGTAGTAAATGCAGATGTGGGCTGGTAAAAATATCATGCCAGCATAGTCAACAGTGGACATATCAAAGTCATGTCATGTCAACAGTCACAGTCTTGTCAACAGTCATAGCCATGGCATCAGTTGTCATGCCAGCAGTCATAGTCATATCAATAGTTATAGGCATGTCAACATAGCAATGCCCACAAAAAGGGCTAGATACCTCAAGATGACATGGCATCCCCTGTCTCAGGCTCCAATTCACGGCTAATCCTGCAAGTCTGCCGCCATGTCCGAGGGAGAGCCGCCGCCGGCGCCCACCCTGCGGCAGTTCTTCGGCTCGCCGAAGGCGGACGATGACGTGTTCAGCCAGCTGACGGATGCTGGCCACCAGTCAGCTGTGATGGCCAGCCAGGTGAACCTGGCGCAGTCGGCCCATGCGGCGCCGCCGCCAGCCGCGCACCTGGCGCAGCCGGGGCCACCGCAGCTTCTGCAGGTGTCGGAAATGGCGCCCAATGTCGAGCAGACCTTCAAACAGGAATTACAGGTTTGTGGTGGTGGCAGATTTCACACTGATGGTGTTGGAGTCTGGGGGTGAGTCATTGACATATTGGAGGTGGGCAGGTTTTGTGTGGAACTGTCTCAATGTCATTGGTAAATGCTAGTTGCTCATCAAACAGTTATTACATGTTTCACGAAACACCAAAGACTAGCAGATGACCTGATTGTGATTTCCTGCTGATGGATCCACTGCATACTGCATGTTATAAACTGTGGAATAAAGCCGAAACTCTGATGTCGGTGAGGGTGTTGTGCGCCTGAAGTATTATGGCTGCATGGCGCCCAATGTATAGCTGTCGTGACCATTTCCACTACTGCCATGGCGGACATCCATCTGTGGGCGTGCCAACCAGTCTGACCTTGTGCGGGCGGCCACCAGGAGGCGCTCGAATACGAGGAGCGTCGGCCGCGCTTCAGCATCGGGCCCGAGTCGGCGGACGAGGTCTCGCGGCTGGTGGCCGAGGTGCAGTGTGCAGAGCCCGAGGTAGGTGGCCGCGCCCGGCCAGCCGACGACCGACGGTCGCCCTCCTGCTCCCGGCGCTCGCACCGGCCGTTTGGTTACGTCACTGCCATCCAGACCACAGCTCGCCCATCTCGGGCGGGCGATAGGCTGTTTCACTGCAGGTTATGCTATGCCAAGTGTTGTATTACGGATTTGTGTGCATGCACAGCTTCCACCGACTTGCCTCTCCCATCTCGACTGCGGTGATGTAGAGCTTAAGAACAGTTCCATTCAATGGGTTCTATTCAGTGGATTTGTACTTCCAGAGTTACGTGAGTACCAACTGCCAAAGCTGTCCGCTTTGTCAATGTCAGCCTTTTCATTGACAACCAGTGGGGCAGGATGCACATAAAGAAGTTGGCGCCAATCTAGCACACATTTCGAATAATCGAATCAAGTTTATCACCTGTCCCCACGCCCGCCATGTCGCACCGCGGGCAGAAATCAGCCGAGTTTCTGCCGCCTCCGACCGAGCCACCCGCGGAGGTGAGCCTCTGTCGGAGACGGCTGAGACGGGCCGTCGTCGTCGCCAGCATCAGCACGCCCGGCAGCGTGGCGGCGCTGATCGACTGGGCGGCGTGGCTCCAATGGCCGCGCACCGAACGGGTCCCGTGCCCCCAGGCCGCCGGAGAGGCGTCGGCCGGCGACGCGACGGCATCTGACGGCACGACTCCGCCCCAGCTGGACCTTCCCTCGCCTGCTCACACCGCAGACGGAGATGCTGGCGACGTCACAGCCCAGGTTGGTGACGTCACTTGGGAGAGGAATACTCTGTCCTCTGGTAAGCGACGTGTGTCATCGGCTTACACGTTCGCGGTCGTGATTCGCCCAGTGCTGCTTGCTGCCGCTCTTTGCGGTTCTTGCTTTGTTTAAGCTCTGAGTGGCGCCTGGTCTCTGAAAGTCTCTGAAAGCGCCTGGCGAATGCAGATCGTTCTTGCGTGTTGTCGTGCGCTGCCTGTTGACAGGCTCAGGTGGGACTGCCTGTTTATTTGTTTGCCTGCAATATGTCTGCATATAGTCTTGTTGCACAGTGCGTCGGTTTTGTTTCCAAGGGCACGAGCTATTTGCCAGCTGCTGTGGGTCAACTTCTGGTGACGGACGTCATCGCGGCGCTATTGTGCAGCGCCGGCGTCTCTGGGGGTCGCTCGTAGCGCCGATGGACAGGGCCGATAAGCAGCGACCAGCCCAGGATCAGCTGCGGGCCGGTCCGAGACGCTGACGCCGGGGTCGGTATCCCTGCAGGGTGACGAGGAGGAGGTGCCGCTGACAGATGACGTAACGCCACCGGCGCCGCCGGCGCCGCCCTTCGAGGGTCTGCCGTCCGGCTCGGCCAGCGCCGATCTGGAGCTGGCGGTGACGCCAGACGACCCGGCCATGAGCGGCGAGCTGACCGCCTCCTGTTTGCCCAACACAGAGGTGAGCCTCCTGCCTGTTCATCACAGAGGTGAGACTGCTGCCTGCCCAACACAGGTGAACCTCCTGTCTGCCCAACACAGAGGTGAGGCTCATGTCTGGCCAACATGGAGGTGAGCCTCCTGTCTGTCCAACACAGAGGTGAGCTTCCTGTGTGCCCAACACAGGTGAGCCTCCTGTGTGCCCAACACGGAGGTGAAGCTCCTTTCTGTCAAACACAGGTGGGCCTCCTGTCTGCTGGCCAACACTTTAGGCACGTACATCGAGCTAACGAGGAGCTTCCTGGACATCTGTTGAGAACTTTAATCAACAGTGATGCTTTGATCAGTGATGATAATCAGCGAGGCCATGGTGGCGTCTGACGTTTTCTCCTTGAATGTGATGTGCTCTGCCCTGTGATATGCTGAATGTGATGTGCTCTGTTTTCTCCTTGAATGCCCCTGCTCGCGACTGACCGGTGCCCATCCCGCCGCTCCTGAACGGCCGCTGGAGCGGCGGACTGACTGGTGCCCACCCCGCCGCTCCTGGACGGCCGCTGGAGCGGCGGACTGACCGGTGCGCGCTCCGCCGGCAGATGGACCGCCAGTTCGACGCCTGGGTGCCGTCGGAGGAGACCCAGCGCGTGCTGAGCTCCATGTCGCAGAGTTTGCCGGGCACGTTCTACCCGCGCCGCGACAGTCTGACGCTGCCCGGCTGCAGTCTGCAGAGCGAGCTGGTGAGAGCGGCCGCCAGACGGGTGACGTTAGAGCCCTCTGAAGCTGGTCCGAGACTGTAGGGCAATGTAGCGCCGCTCTTGTCGGGAGACTACGAAAGTATGCGCTGCATGCGCGTATATGGGATAATGCTTGAACGCAACTGTCTCGTGTCAAAAGACCGGGATGTAAAATGGCAAAGAAGTCAGTGGTTGTGTTGAAATATCACTCAAAATAAGAATTTCAGGGCCTCTCCAGGCCTCAGGCTCGATGAAGGCCGCCATGGCCGCCACCTTCTTGGTACCTCTGAAATCTAACGCTTCTCAGACAGGTCGCGGCGCGTGGTTTGGGCGCGCCGTGCTGAGCTGCGTGCCGCACTGTGCCGCAGACGGACCCAGTGTCGGAGCTGATGCTGCAGTACATGACGTCGGCCGAGGCGCGCCGCCGCTCCGTGCTGACGGCCGACAGCGTGACTCAAGACGACCGCGGCATCCGGCAGCTGATCCAGGTGGCGCTCAGCGCCGCCCGGGGACCGGCCGACGGCCGCCGCGCCCCGCTGGCGCTGGTCCGCGCGGCTCGCTCGTCGAACCCTTGTTTATCGCTGGGTTTCTGGGTGTTGTGAACTGGAACGGCGGCAGCATCCGGGCCATAGAATGCTTGGTTTTGCAGCTCCTCCGTCGTCTTCAATTGCGCGAGGTTTTAGGGGACATTTGCCTTCTTCGGGTCCATGGAGGCCTACACGATGCGATTTAAAAGCGGCCGAGTTCTGGTTTGTTCTTATCAGATGACTGCTGGTGGTGTAATTCCAGCCCAGTAACCTGACCTGCGCTGACCCCGACTGACCTGGCCGCACAGGCGGGCTGTTATCGCGCGGCGGTGAACCTCACCGGCCGACTGCTCACCAACTACGGCCAGGGGTACGGCCGGGTCGGCCAGGTCAGCAAGCACACGGCCAACTCGGTACAGGTCAGTGCAAGCCGTCAGGTCTGCAGATACGGGAAGCGGCGGGGGAGGGATATCACGGTGCACTACTGTGCAGAACAGTGGACCTCAGTTATGCTCCCGACACTGTTTTGGGCTGGACCAGCATTTACCAGTGCGTTAGAGCCGCTGACATTGTCAGAAAAGCTGGGACCCTGAGATCCATATTACGGTTAGGCTGATGGGATGGATTGCGCCAGTCTGTTCTTGGTGTTGTGCTATCCTTATGCCGCTGAATTGCAGTCTTTTTATCAGCAATGTCTAACCATTCACAGCTGGCTTTTGCCCGCGTGTAGCTGCGTCTTACTCGAAGGCAGTGGCGCCATCAGAGGTTGCGGGTGATGGGGCGAAATTTGTGTTCGGGTGGGTGGTCAGGGGAGGCATGAGGTGTGCGGAGCCGAAAAAAACTGATTTCCGTTCTCTGCGAATTTTGAAAAAGTCCCCGGACTTGATGGGTTTTATTTTGAAGTTAGAGGAGCGGGACAGGGGCTGTGTCGCCGTCCCTGCCGTGGCGGCACCAGCGTCCTGACAGCTGTGCCGCTAGCAGTGGATGGCCGCCGTGTCAGCAGAGGATTGTTCTCCGTTTCAGCTGTGGTTCACGCGGCTGGCGCTGCTCGTGCGTCTGCGCCTGTTTCCGGTGGCCGAGCAGGAGGCCGAGGCCTGGGGAGACCTCGACACGGCAGACCTCTTCTTCCAGGTCAGTGTCGGCCAGTGTCGGCCACTTCGCGCTGCTGAGCATGACCAGCATCCGCCGGCTTGTCTGCACCGTCGGGCGCCGCCGGCGGCGGGCTGAGCCGGGATGGGCCTCCTGTGCCGCAGTACTACCCGGACCTGTACGGGGGACGGCGCGGCTCGCTGGTGCCGTTTAACTTCCGGGTGCTGCTGGCGGAGCTACCGCGCTACAGCGCCCACTACCAAGCCAGCCTAGACCGGCTCTACCAGATCCACGCCGTCTGCCAGCAGGTGAGCCCGCCCCCGCCCTCACTCACCGGCGAGACGCTGGGCGGGGAGACTGACTCGGGTCGCGGCGAGATAGCTATCAAGCGAGACTGCCGATCGGAATGCTGAGCAGGCGAGACGCTGATTAGGGTGGGCGCTGAGCAGGTGGTGCACTGGTCTGGCAGGACGCTGATCACGAGATACACGGATAAGGCGAGCCAGCGGCCGGATGACGTGGTGGCGAGCCGCCGGGCGTCCGCTCTGTCTCAGACCGGGCCGCCAGGCAGACTGGCCGCCGCCTGACGTGCTGTCAACGCCGCCCTCCCTGTGCCGTCAGATCCTGTCGAACCTGTCGGCGGGCCGCGCGGAGGATGGCTCCCCCTCCGACCTGTCGGAGGGCGGCCGACAGCGCTCACTGGCCCTCTGGAACAGCCGCAGGCTCAAGGTCATCTTCTCCGTCGTCAACTGCTGTGTCGGCATGAAGGTCAGTGCGCACTCCGCCAGTCGACGGTGTCGGTGTTGTGGGGTCGAGGTGAGATGAGTCTGAGAACGCTGGCCGCTATACCAGGGTCTCGGCAGCTGAGAACGCTGGCCGCTATACCAGGGTCTCGGCAGCTGAGAACGCTGGCCGCTATACCAGGGTCTCGGCAGCTGAGAACGCTGGCCGCTATGCCAGGGTCTCAGCAGCTGAGAACGCTGGCCGCTATGCCGGGGTCTCAGCAGCTGAGAACGCTGGCCGCTATGCCAGGGTCTCAGCAGCTGAGAACGCTGGCCGCTATGCCGGGGTCTCAGCGGCTGAGGGCGCTGGCCGCTATGCCAGGGTCTCAGCAGCTGAGAACGCTGGCCGCTATGCCGGGCTCTCAGCGGCTGAGGGCGCTGGCCGCTATGCCAGAGTCTTAGCCGGGTCAGGCGCTTATCTCTGGTCAGCGGTAGGCAGTTTCCTCGCGCGGTGA